CTCTCTCTCTCTCTCTCTCTCTCTCTCTCTCTCTCTCTCTCTCTCTCTCTCTCTCTCTCTCTCTCTCTCTCTCTCTCTCTCTCTCTCTCTCTCTCACTCGCTTTGAACAATGAACTTGTACCTATGAACAATGAACTTAGTATTGCCGTGAACAATGAACTTAGGGTAGGGAGACGGCCTCTCACACCGGTAAAGACCTCCGCAGGAAATCTTTTGAAGTTCATTTTGGTCTTAAACTCAAATTTTCAGGTGGTAAGAGACGTAGAGAGGGAGAAGGGGGAGTGTGAGGGGAGAGGGAGGTGCGTGAGAAGGGGAAAGAGGGGGTTGTTGAAGGGTAAAATGAAGGGGGTGAATGATATAGGGAGAGGAAGATATATAAAAAAGATGAGGAGTTTCCCATCATTTTCATTTCTGGCACATTATATAATCTTCGAAAAATATTTTTGTTTAGAAAGTACACATACACACACATATATATATACATGTATGCGTAAAGCTTGAATGGTCCCCAAATTGTTGAATGGTTCCTCTGCCAATTTGGGTGAGGCTTGCCCCAACTTTGGACAAACATATATAATAATTATAGGCATTAATATACACAGCATTATAAGTAACGTATATATATTTAAAAGGATTATACGAGACAAAATTTATAAAATAATCATAATACTTGAATTCACAGATAAAGCTATCGGAAAATATCATGAAAATCGTGCTTCCTTTATTGAATTAAGAATTGCATTAATATAATAGGCTATAAGTTATTTCTGAAAGATCAAATTCATATGAATGGAAATTATACATGGTAATTCTCAGTAATTATTCAGGCAATAAATATGCATAAGCCGTAAATAATGATGAAAATCCCTCATCGAACACACGCCCGAGATCGCTGCGTCGCGGAATATAAAATACCTTTCGCCAAATTCTTAAGAGCTCCTGTAATCGAGACTTCCAGCAAGTTGGAAAGTCTTTTACCGCAGTAAGGATTTTTTTCACCCAAAACTTCCCTCGAGATAATTCATAAACGCTCCTCGGATACACACCCGCAGCCTCAGGGGACAAAAGAAGGAAAAGGCGAATTTTACGTGCCGCGAACTGTAAAATGTCGGCGATTGGCCTGTACGCGGATGGCTCAGCCAATCACAGTGTCTCCCGCGAAAAGTTAAATATGAAAAGATGCAAATATTTTCCATGTAAATATCTTATAGAGGTTTCCATAGACAACAGAATTACAAAAAAACACTTACAGTCTCATCCATGACTGACCAAAATTTAAATTACAACATATTTTATCAATGCAACGTACAAACCAAAAAATTTTGAATTATTTTATGCAATTTGTTTAAAAGAGCACGACTTCACTCATGCATACATTAACTAAATAATCTTATATTTTACAAGAAAACTTTGAGAACTTGTAAGAGGGACCTCAAACGACTCTAGAACAGTATGTACTAAGCTCACCTGTCCTCCAGCACCAATCTGTTAAAAACTTGTGGCAATTTTTGTTAAACTGTTGCACTGTCAGCTGCTGTCGACGGCTTCCCAGCCTTGTGTCTTGCTGGTCTGACTCAACGGGCTTATAGGAGAGCCTAATGCCTCGCTGGTCTGACTCAACGGGCTTATAGGAGAGCCTAATGCCTCGCTGGTCTGACTCAACGGGCTTATAGGAGAGCCTAATGCCTCGCTGGTCTGACTCAACGGGCTTATAGGAGAGCCTAATGCCTCGCTGGACTGACTCAACGGGCTTATAGGAGAGCCTAATGCCTCGCTGGACTGACTCAACGGGCTTATAGGAGAGCCTAATGCCTCGCTGGACTGACTCAACGGGCTTATAGGAGAGCCTAATGCCTTGCTGGACTGACTCAACGTACTTATAGGAGAGCCTAATGCCTCGCTGGACTGACTCAACGGACTTATAGGAGAGCCTAATGCCTCGCTGGACTGACTCAACGGGCTTATAGGAGAGCCTAATGCCTCGCTGGACTGACTCAACGGGCTTATAGGAGAGCCTAATGCCTCGCTGGACTGACTCAACGGACTTATAGGAGAGCCTAATGCCTCGCTGGACTGACTCAACGGGCTTATAAGAGAGTTTGGATAATTAGTCCTGCTAATGACCTTACTATAATTAATCCAGCAGCTGTTTGTAAAATTAAGGATCATGCACACACACACATACAAACACACGCACACAAACACAAATATATATACACACACATGAGACAAAATAATGAAAGGGAAACAGATAATGTATAAAATAAGCAGTACCCATTGCTAGGCTATGAACAATAAATGGAATTGACCTGCTGTCAGGCTAGACTTGTTAAAGCGGCTGCCGTTGCCCCCCCGCCTCAACACTCATTGATCATTTTTTAACGTTCTGAGCTTTTAAAATAGGTTTGTTCTCATATATAAATTAATATTATTATACATTAAAGAGCAATGTGTAATTAGCCATAGGTTACGTTAGGTGTTTAGGTGGGTTCGAGAAATGTTTGATTGTCATCACTTGCGAGGCGAAAATCTTTTTCATTTATAAACACCAATCCCCTTCCTGCATAAACAAGGGGGTTTAGTCGCTGGATAAACGTTCATTTGGTCTTCTTTGATGAGGACGGGGTGTCAAAACTTATATTTTCTCAAATATAAGTTAATATTATTATATACTAGTATGTGGTGAACAGTTAGGCCCAACTTAGAGCCTAAACACAAGGCTCTAAGTTTGTGTTTAGGCTCTGTGAGGAATTATTGGTATGTGCAGTACGTGGGTGGAACTGTGAACTGTCAGGGGAAAGTGCCAAGCCATTACGACTATATAGCACTGGGAACGGGTCAGGATAAGGATTTGGGATGGGACGGAGGAAAGGAATGGTGTCCGAGCTTTAAGGAAGGGGCGATTCGAGCAGAGAACGTGAACGAAGGAGCGCTCGAGAACAGTACATATACGTTATTATTTGTGAGGATTTGGGAGATTTGGCGTCTGGATTAATTAACAAGCATTTGGGCTTTGTTTATGGGGACGGCTTGATGGAGTAGATTAAACAACGAAATAGTTGAAACTAACTCATTTCATACCTTGAAATGTAAATAGGATAAGAAAAACTTTGGAACTGTCCGTGTAATCAACTGAGTACTGCATTCCCTGATTTATAACCATTCAATTTCTTGCCAATTTTTTAGAGTTGCAACGCGTAAATCTTATTTACGTTAATTATTTTAATATAAATGCATGAAATTAAAACATATTATAATGATTATTGTTTTTTTTCGTCAGCTTTCATATCGTCAAGCGAGGCGAAGCGGCGGACCTTAAGCGACCTCCCGCAATGTTTACCTCGGCAGTGTAGTGTCGGCCGCACGGAGTGTCTTAGTAATTTATCTCACGTTTACGGTGCTATAATTTGACCAATCCTTAGCAAACATGAATGGAAAGTGGTTATCAAGTGACGTTGGCGCCTCAAAACCATTAATAGCCAGGAACACAAGTAGTGTAGAGGTGCAAAGGAAAGTTTTATAGCGGTTTGATGCTACTGAAGAACTACTGCTCATGGGCCCGGAACCTTGAAGGAGCCAAACAATACCCGCGGATAGTGAGAGAAACCGCCAAAGAAGGTGATTACACTCCAAAAGAAGCATACCATGTTTACGAAACAATCTTACATTGTATGCGTCATAAACACACATGATCTGGGAAGAGATAAAGTTTTATACGGGCTCGCCATAGCCCAGCTACTTGGAACTTTATGTTCCAAGTAGCTGAATCTTTAACAACAACAGGAAATGTGTCTTGCGTGAATGTGTCTTCCAGTAACATGCAGCGAAGGTTCAACGCTCACAGCTGCTGCCTCTGGTAAGTCCAACTCTTGGACCTATATGTACCTATATATTAGCAACCTATATGCTACTCTATGTCACGTTTTTCTGACAGCATTTGATTGTTGTTTCACGAGGGGCGTGTCCCTGCAGTGTATCACTGATCGCTTCCTGGACGTGTATGCGAGTATTCGACCTGTCCTCAGCAGCATTCGCCGAAGGGATTGGATTGGGAATGACTATATAATTAATGCTATTATTTACTTCATCAATGGTTAGGTTAAGGTTTCGTTCGGTTAGGCTAGGTTTCATTACATATGTTAATACAGTGTATTATTGACGATAATGTCAAATATGGATTTCGAAAACTGTAAGTGTACCCAATAATTCATTTTACAGAAAACCAAATTCATTTAAAAAAAACTTTTTCAGCATACACTATAGTTTTAAACCAACTATTTGTAATAAAATAAAGTTAGAACTTTTTTGTATTTATTTATTTATATATACAAGAGTTCTTTCATTCTTATAAAAAGAGTAAAGCCACTAACACACATAGCGTTTCACACACTAGGTGAGTACACAGCTCCTTAATCTTAATTTTCCCAGGAATACGACCTTCATACCATTTAACAACCAGGTATTCATTCACTGCTGAGTGAAGAGGAGTACAGTTAAGGATTAGCGCCTAGTCAATCCTCCCGGGCCTGGATACAAACCCAGGCCAAATCGCTTACAAAGCGTGAGGCGAGTGAGTTACCACTGCGCCGCAGGGGCTGCTTTTCTGAAGAGAACTTGAGAATAATCTGTTTACGACAAAGGTTAATTTGCCAGTTTACATGTAGACTATTACTGGAACCGTAATGTGCTTTCAGACCATCATAACTATCTAGATAACTTTGCAGGTGGTTTGAGAGGGGTGTGGTTTCTCGTGGTAATGGATTTCGTCTGAAGACGGGCTCCAGTATTACAGTGTGTTCTGAAGGCGGGGCTAGAAGCTGAGACTCGACCCTCTCAGGACATGTAGTTGAGTACATTTAGATCAACACACACACACACACACACACACACACACACACACACACACACACACACACACACACACACACACACACACACACAGCAACTTTGCATTTATCGAGAGTCAGTGGAAGCTTGAGGGTACAAATCACATTACTCATTCCTGAAAGCTGCGAGCATCAGTTATTGAGAAGTTGAGGCAGTTACCCAGGTGATCTGACTCTCACAGTCGTGGAGAGAGAGGGAGAGAGAGAGAGAAAGGAAAGGGAACTATCAGGGGAGGGGGGGGAAGCGCCAAGCCACTATTTATTTATTTATTTATTTATTTATGCATATACAAGAAGGTACATTGGGATTGTGAGGATACATAATATGGTAATTACAATCTTGTAAAGCCACTAGTACGCGCAGCGTTTCGGGCAGATTATACAATTTCGGGCAGGTTACAATTATATAGCACTGGCAAGGGGGGGAGAAGGAATGGTGCCCAACCACTTGGACGGTCGGGGATTGAACGCCGACCTGCATGGAGCGAGACTCATTACACACGATATTGCAATATATTTACCCGATAATGTTATTACTTGTATTAACATAATTTAGAATATTAATATTTTTAATTATTATTATTTGATTTTTATATTCTTTATTACTTTTTCTCTACTGTTAATTCTGACTACCATCTACCCCCCCCCAGCCACCTTTACTATCAACCTATTCACCTGTTCACCTGGGGAAAAATAGATACCCCAAAGCCTTCCTCAGTCAAGACTGCTTCACATCGCTCGCCTCTAGATACAATCCTCATATACTGTTTCCTAATCTCCATTCCATGCTCTCTTCCTTCCCAGTTTCCTTCCTTCTTTCATCGTTCCATTTCCTCATGCTGTAATCCCACAAGTTGTCAACCACCACCAGTTCAACAGCTCTCCAAGCGCCTCTCTTCCATCCTCCTCCTCCTCCTCCGCGTCGCAGCAAACGCCTCCGAGGCATTGGTGGAGTTGGAAAAGTTGAATACACGGCAGATGCAATCTGCAATTAACCTAGAGTTAATGAAGATCCATGTTAGCCGAGATCTGAGAGGCTACAGACTGGAAAAATGTCTGCGATTAACGTTCTACTGAAGGAAGTCAGGCAGGCAAGCAAGCAAGCAAGCAGGCGAGCAGACAGAAGCAGGCTAGCAGTAAGACAAGCAGGCTTAGACAAAGGCAGATTGGTAAGCAAGGTACATAGGCAGTCAAGCTGGGAAGCAGGCATGCAGGCAGGCAGGCAGGCAGGCAGACAGACAGGCAGGCAGGCAGGCAGGCAGGCAGGCAGGCAGGCAGGCAGGCAGGCAGGCAGGCAGGCAGACAGACAGGCAGGCAAGCATGAAGGCAATCAAAGCCATTTGTAGTAGGAATAACATGGTTAAGGGTACCTAGTAGGTTGTTAAACTGGCTAATTAGCCAGTTTACTAGCAAAATAGCGAGACCTAAGAAGCCTTAACTACCAAATCTAACCACGGCAACAGGATTCCACCCCAGAAAGTAAGAATTAAAATAGGGGTTGGACATGTTAACGACATTAAAGATTCTAAAGAGAATTGACACGACAGCAGTGTTCTAAGCTAGAGACAGCAGAACAAGGTTATATATATAGACTCTAGCGAATAAATGAGTCTCAGAAATGAATAAACTTCAGTGTATGAGCGGTGAATTTAACATGTGAAGTCGTGGTGTAGTTTTCCATACACTACGGTACGTAGTTGTAGATGTAAACATGATTGAAAAACGTGAAATATAGCATTGAAATGGCGCTGGATCCTATGTGATCCAGCACCATTGTACTCATTGTCTGCATGTACTCTCCAAGCACGTCTTGGTGAGTACAGCTACATGAGTACATCTAGTTGAGTATGTTTAGAGGAATACACGTGAGGGAGTACACGTGAGGGAATACACGTGAGGGAGTACACGTGAGGGAGTACACGTGAGGGAGTACACGTGAGGGAGTACACGTGAGGGAGTACACGTGAGGGAATACACGTGAGGGAGTACACGTGAGGGAGTACACGTGAGGGAGTACACGTGAGGGAGTACACGTGAGGGAGTACACGTGAGGGAGTACACGTGAGGGAATACACGTGAGGGAGTACACGTGAGGGAGTACACGTGAGGGAGTACACGTGAGGGAATACACGTGAGGGAGTACACGTGAGGGAGTACACGTGAGGGAGTACACGTGAGGGAGTACAC